AGTCAGAGAAAGACAAATACCATATGATCTCACATGTGGAATTTAAGAAACAAAACAAATGAGCAAAGGAAAAAAAAATGAGAGACAAACCAAGAAAGACTCTTAACTAAAGGTTGCCAGAGGGGAAATGGGTAGAGGGGTGGGTGATATAGATGATTAAGGAGTACACTTACCATGATGGGAAAAAAAAGATTAAAAAAATCTCGGAACTGAATCTGATACTCTTACATAGCAACTATCTTTACTCATACATATTGGTTTATATTCTTTTGGCTAACATTATTTACTATCACTTGCCACCCAGATAAGTGTCTTAAATATATTGCCTCATTTAATCTTCAAATTTTCTAATTTTATAGATGAAGAAATTGAAAGGTTATATGACTTGTCTGATGCTACCAAACCAGTAAGAAACAGAGACCTATTCAAACTCTAATCCAAGTCCCAATTGTAAACTCCTCATCTCCTCACTCTTAATCTCCTTCATAACCTTGTTTTTCCCTTTGTCTGTTTGTATTTTTTCTTAAGTAATCTCTATGCCCAGCGTGGGGGCTCAAACTCATATGACCTCAGGATCAAGCGTCTCATGCTTTACCAACTGAGCCAGCCAGGTGCCCCATCTGTATTTTAATTTATCCCTTGTATAAGCCATCTCATCTTTATTGGAAAAATGTGAAGAGTGAAGAATAACATATGTAAATGAATTAGTGTTTTATTATCTTACCTGCTGCCCTAGGATACTGATTGTCCTAGTTGACTGCCATGTCTTCCTGAAGGAAGGAGACTGGATCGGTTGGTATAAAGATCATTTCCAGTTCTGAAGTTTGATGCTCCATGTTGCTTAAAAGTTATTTTACTTTTCTTTAAATGTGACACTCTGTGCTCCTGAGTCCACTATTCTATAAGATACGGTAACTCCTAGGATGAGGCTCACTAAGGGAAAAGTCTGCACTATAAATGCTGAAGAGAGGCTCAGAAGCCCAATGAAATTCCATTAAGACCTCAGAAACAATGTCTATATGTACATTTACTAAAGGATAAGAAGTCAGAGGAGTTTCCAGCCAGGGTGAGAAGTTTTATACAGCTATAAAAACAATGCTTAGCTGGAAGGCATACATAAACTTACTAACAGTCCTAACTCAAGTAAATATTAACTATCTTACATTTACCTATTTACAGAATTGGCAAACTCGTAACCCTTGGGTAGAATCTTACCTGCAGACATTTTCTTTGAACCTGACATTTGAATTCATTGCCAACATTTATGATTCAGATTTCACTTTCTAAAAAGTATCTAGATTTTGGGATATTTGGGAATCCTAGACCCACATTTCCATCCAACAACAGGACTGAGCTAAATAGTAGCTGCCCTCTTTATCCTGGGCATATTTGTTTTTAACTATAGAGTACCTACTACATTTCTGGCACAGGGTATAGAACATTATACAAAATTTAAAACAATTCATTGCCCTCATAGAGCTTACTTTCTTGTATGCTCATCACTTTACCACATCCAGCCTTTTCCCTGTCTACACTCTATAGATCTTTGCATTTTCTGCCAGTATCTTACCTTTCTCTGAAAATGCCAGTCTCCAATAGGAACCTCATGAGAACAAGTCCAAAAATGGGTTATTTCTAGAGAGAGATTTTTAGAAGGATTGGATCTTATGCAGTGACCTAACAGCTCCTTTATCTTTCTTCTTGCTATTCCCCAAGAAATAAAATCATTGCTGCTTTGTAGAACATTGTTAGTGACATATGTAGTAATAGGTTTAAGATAATGCTGTATTTGTACTAGTCTAAGACAAGTTTATGATTTACTACTTACAGTAAATAATGCTGTTTAAAAACAAAATACTTACAAAAAGGCATACTGTCATCTATTGAGCAAGTTTGCAATTGACTGCTCCAATATGTAAGAAACCTTCGGATCTTCTAATCCAGCTTTTACAAATAAAAAGACCAAAAGTAGTAGCTGCCATCTGGAAAGAAAAAATTTGAGCCCCTATCTGAGTCGACCAAAATAAATTCCAGAAGGATCAAAGATTTAAATAATATTTTTTAAAAGAAAGCAAGCAGATAATTTTTATCTTTGAGTGGGAAAGGCCTCCCCCAAAACCACTAAAGATTTAATAAAATTGCCTACATGAAATAAATCTTTGCATAAAGAAAACATCATAAACTCAAAAGGAAATTGACAAGGAGAAAAATATTTACAATGTAAGTCACAAAGGGTCACTTTCCTTAATCTCCACAGATTACTAATACAGAGACCCAGGAGACAGAAGACCACAGGAAACAAATGGCTCTTAAACATAAAAATATGCTCAACTTTTAATAGGAGGAACCATTTTTTATAAATCAAAATAGCAAAGATTAAAAAGTTTGATAACTTATTTTGCTGAGATGAGGAAATAGACACTGACTGTAACATTCATTGCTGTGCAGTATGTATTAATACAACATCTATTGACAGCAATTTTGGCCGGCTTTCATAAGTTAACAAAACGTTAAGAGGTTTCCAGCATATACCAAATACAGTTGACCCTTGAACAAAGTAGGTTTGAACTGTGCACTGTCCACTTAAACGTGCATTTTTTACAGTACTGTAAATGTATTCTCTTAGGATTTTCTTACTAACATATTCTTTTCTCTAGCTTACTTTAAAAATACAATATGAAATATATATAACATGCAAAGTATGTGTTGATTGACCATATTAACTACCGGTTTAGGTTCTCATCAACAGGCTATTAGTAAAGTTTTGGGAAGTCGTAAGTTCTATGCAGATTTTTGACAGCGTGAGGGGCAGGGTTTAGCTCCCATAACCCCCATGTTGTTCCAAGGGTCAACTGTACAGGTTTTAGTGGTTATAATCATCAAATCTTAAAATGCATAAACTTAAAATTTTTGTTACGATTTTTTGAAATCACATACAAGGATATTCGTGGAAATATTGTCCATAAAAAAATACAACTACTTTTAGGGAACGGATTAAATTATGATCTATCCAATAGGATACTACGCAGCTAGCTATTCAAAGTGTCAGCTCTGTTGTACTGTACTGATAGAACATTTTCTAAAATGAGGAGAGTAAGGGGCAGAGCATTAAATAAAGCTTCCATTTGTGTATATGATGCTTTGTGCTTCAGTCTGTCTTGAAGGATAAATCATATTATTGTGGTTGTCTCCTAGGACAACAAGGTAGCTGGGAATCCAAAATACAGACTAACCACCACATAGCTTTTACTTTTGTATCACTAAGATAGACATAGTTCTTAAAAAAAAAAAAGGGGGGGGGGGGGGAGTTTTCATAAACACCTCCATGTACCAGCTGGTACATGGTACATGGAACCTAATTCTTACCCTGTTTCCAAAAGAACCACTCCTTAAAGTAACCTAGTCTTGAAAATTTACTGATATAATCTTTCAGAGAGATTTGAAATCTTGATCCACACTTAAAAATATCAAACATGACTCACCCTAAATCCTGAACTTATTCTAGAGCAGCTCTTAAGAATGAGTCGTTCTCAGCTTAGACACGAAAAGCATTTTATATAAAAGAAGAGTTAAAGCAGTCACAAAAACTCCCAAAAAGATGACAAGAAATCTGGTCTGCCTCATGGGTCTTAAAATTTATAGATTTAGAAATCCTGAAGGAAACAAGACTTTGACCCTATTTCAATTTTAATTAACTATTTAAAATCTCTTTATGCACGTAGTAGTGTTTTAGATAGTTTTAACTTTCTCCTTTAACATTAAAACGCTGTGAAGTGGGTACTGACCCCGTATTACAAATGGGGACATATGTCAAAAAATAAAGTTCATTGAGCTAGTATTTACAGAGCGGGGGAACTGGGATCCAGACCTAGGTTATGCCTCTAAAATACATTACCCTAATTTCCGGCACTATTAAGCCACTTAACACCAGAAATTATTTTTTAAAATATAAGTTTGTTTTCATTTTGATCATCAAAAGCTCCACATTTAAATGTGCAACTACTGGGATAAGATTAAGAAGACAATCAGAGGTCTGCAGATTTTTGACTATTTGCTCCGGTAATTACGCTATTAAATCACTTCCATTTAACAGAACTTTGGTATTTCCTGTTTAATGATATATTCCTTACCAAAAACTTACTCAAATATGGCATATGGCAAATAACCAAAACTCCCATGGTTGGGTAATAAGAATTTTGACTATTTTAAAACTTGATAGGTAATCAAGATTGTCAGGTTTAACTATAAAACGATCAACAAATAGGTTTCTTCTGTCACCACTTGACCAAAAGAGGTTGACTTTCACTAGAAGCCTCTGATAATTGTTCAAAATAATAATCTTAATTCAAATAGAAGCAATTGCTCCTTCAAAGGAGCATCTCAAATAATTGCTTTCCCCAATAAATATAAATCCTAGTGAAATTTAGTCATGGCAGATCACAACAACCACTTCAAGTGCTTTCTGACGGTTACCCAAAATTCTAAAGCTTAAAACCACAATAATTTTTAAAGATATAACCCAAAATTCATTCTGGTATTCTATTCTGAACTAGTTCATAATCAACAGAAACTTTAACCTGTTACTAAAGATGTTTTTAAAAATTTACGGTTTTAGGTATATACTCACCATATTAGCTCCTTTGCCTCATATTAATATTAAAGAGAAAGTTTCCCTAAAGACAAAGTCAGTTAAAAAAAAACAAAAACAAACCCAAGGGACAAGTTAGTAATAAATGAATAGCAATGTCAAGAAAAAAAACTCATTTTGTAAAACTGCACCAATTTTATAAGTTCAATAAATTCCAGATCTATTTTTTAAAGAATACTTTGTAAATTAGAATATGGGCATGTTTAACTTTCTTTTAACCAAACATTTTACTAAATCAACTGTGTCTGAGAACTATTAGGCAGAAATACAAGAAAAAGCGGATATGGTTTCAGACCTTGAGTATTTTTAAAGTGAAAAGCAACCTAGCACATTAAGACAAAGACAATAGAAATAATATACATAATTTTATTACAAAAATTTTTTTAAAAAACAAAATGCAACATTCTAAAAAACCCAAAATTTACTATTGATACTAATTCCTACAAGTCTGCTGTGCTACAATACACAAGTCAAGAAATTAAGAAAACCATTAAATATTTAGAAACATTCAACATCAGAAGCTTTAAAATCTAACTGTATGTAGTAGCCCCTCAAAAAGCTACAACCTGCATTTTTAAAAAAGTATTTTCTCTACAAAGAATCTTATCAGCTATACAAAAATCTGTACAGTTTTTATACTGAAGCTAATATTGAGCTGCACCTGAATTCACATTCTTAGCAAAACAATTGCCTGAGCACACACGCACACTCCACACATATCATTACAGGATAGCCATTTATTCTTCATCTTCCTCTTCTTCCTCATCATCTTCATCTTCTTCCTCCTCTTCCTCTTCCTCCTCATCCTCTGGTTCATTCTTCTTCTTTGAACCTGTTGGCCTGCCAGGACCCTTCTTTCCCGCTTCACTTTTGCCCTTGGCGCGATATGCAGCAATATCCTGAAATATTGTCAAAAAATAAAATCAGCATCCGGTGTCATTACTCAACTGTAAAAACCACTAGGTTGTAAACAATCTAAGATTATTGACCAATAACCCTGATGACTGTCCAAAGAGGTATTTCAGAGTCTAATAACTCAGCCTTGAGAGCATTTGTTCTCTAGGCTTTAAAAAGCTAATGATGTAAAATGAGGGGGTTGTAGATGTCAGAATTTTCACTATCAATGTCCATTTACCTCATATTGCCCACCCCCTCAAATTTTAGGTACATCTACATAAAACAAAGTATTTGGCCCTCCATTTCTTAAAACCAAGAGACCCAGAACTACAAATAAGTCTATATACAGGAATCTACCAATACTACAAACACTGGTTTCAGTCAAAAGAAAAGAAGTTTCAATTAGCTTACGTTCTTAAATGTACAATTTTCACTAGACCTTCTCCAAATAGAGCTGACAACCATAAATACAAGAAGAACTAAACTTCCCAACTCTATAGTTCATACCTATTTCTAACATCCTTATTTAGAAAACATCTTGGCTTTCAAAGAGACAACGAACCTTTTCATACTTCTCCTTTAGCTTAGCTGCTTTCTGTTCATATGGTTGTTTATCTTTGGCTGACTGTTCAGACCACATTTCACCCAATTTTTTTGCAGTATCCCCAATGGATAAACCAGGGTGTTCACTTTTGATCTTTGGGCGATGTTCAGAGCAAAACAGGAAGAAAGCAGACCTGAAAGAAAGCAACAGAGTTAATAAACTTGAAAAATACGGGGCAATTGGACTGATTTGAAAATGAACTTACGGAGGCCTTTTAGGAGCATTGGGATCTTTTTTCTTTCCTTTCTTGTCACCTTTGGGAGGAACATAATTTTTCATCTCCCTGTCATAGCGAGCTTTGTCACTTTTTGCCATATCTTCAAACTTCGACTTTTCCTTTGCAGACATGGTCTATGGGCATGAAAGGAAGAATGAAAGTACAGCAAAACTACAAGCTACATGCACCCAAAAAAGATCAAGATCATCCTTAAGCGCCAGATTTTCCTTGGTTAGCAGCATTTTACTTTTAGCAGTCTTGGAAGTGAACGAAAACCTAAGGTAGTCTGCCCCAAACTCAGAACAAAATACCTGGACGAGTCACCACCGTCGCCAAGTTGAAGGTTACAAGTTACCTACCCCCGCTAAGGTCCTAGAGCCTAAAAAAACACACCCGAAAAACCCTTAGCTCTGTCCGAATTCCGGTCTCACCTTCCATCTCTCCGAACACTTCTTGGAGAATTCGGCGAAATTGACGGAAGAGTCTGGGTGCTTCTTCTTGTGCTCCTCCCGGCAGGTCTGCACGAAGAAGGCGTACGAGGACATCTTGCCCCGCGGCTTGTTGGGGTCTCCTTTACCCATGGTGACAGTCGGCGTCTACCCAGCGGGGAGACAAGCGGTGGGTGGACGCTGGCGGGGCTCAGCTTCCCGCCCAAACACGCGCCCGCCCCCTCTCGCGAGGAAGGCGGCCAGCGCCAGGCTCCCCCGCCAGCCCGCCCCGGGCGGCCGCCTCCGCGCACACGCCCTCCTCCCGGCACCCACCACAACAGCCGCGGCCGATCTCCTCACGCGATCACCGCGTCGCCCCCGAAGGCCCGAAACGCCGCCCCCCGCCGCCCGCCCCCGCCCAGGCCCGGGCTGCGGAAGGGAACGGCAGGAGCGCCGTCGAAACCCTTTTCCTGACAGAAATGTTCCCCCGGCTTCCACGTCGCCGGCCCCAAAGAGTTGTCGCCTCGCGACCGACATTCAAAAAATGACTGAACCCGGGCCCGGACGAGCTTCCCGCCCTCCCGCGGGCCCCGACCGCCAGCCCTCCACAGCCCCTGGCCCTCAGCGGCCCCGCACCCCAGATTCCGCTCGCCGGGTCGAACCCCGAGAGCCCCAGTGCCCAGGCCGGCTAGAAGGCTGTGAGGAAAGGGGGAACGACAGGCCCACGAACACGAAGGGGCCGAAGGGGATCCTTGCCTGGTGGTAGCTTTTCCTCAGAGTCCCGCGGAGAGGCCGGATCCACCAGAGACGCTTCCTTCCCAGGGCTCCGGCGTGAACTGGTTTATCGCTAACGCAATCCTCAGCCTCTTGTTTTGCAGAGTTCTCCGCGCCACGGCAACTTGACGAGCCGGGCCGCAGGCCACACCCCCGCCTCTCTGATTGGTTCTGGTGATTATTCAAACTCCCGTAGGCACCGCCCTATCGCCACGGAGGCCTCCGATTGGCCGGTGTCTCGCCAGGCCCGTCCCTCCAGCTCCAGCCTAGCAGGTTCGGTGGGTCGCCCAGGTCGTTAACTCCCAGACCCGTTAGAACCGGTCAGGAGAGGAATGTACTGCTCGATCCTGATTGGCGGCGGGAAAAGGGTTTGAAAAATGGCGGGCCTGACGCTGACTGGCTGGAGCGGTAAACGGGGGGAGTGGTTGGCCTGAAAGGGAAAGCCCCGCCAGATTTAAAAATACCAAGTCGGGAAACAGGGTTGTTAAGGGGTCGGAGTCGGCAGGGTTTCCAGGTGCTGAGGTAACAAGCAGACCGCCCTACCCGTTCTCCGACCACCGTCCAGGCCGTGTTTCTCTTCCGCCCCAACTCGGCCCCAGAGCGTTGTCTCCTCCCGGGAGCTGTAGTCGCTCTGCCGTGTAACCCTTCAGTGTCTCTCCTCTGTTCCGTCCAAAGAGTAACAAACGTAGAGAGGCTGAGGAGCTTGCCCAGCGCGCCGATTGCCCAGCTCCGCCCGTTGCCGCTGAGGCTAGGACAGAACCCCAGGAAGCCGGAGGTGGCGGGGAACCTGGGAAGGGGCGCGGGCGGCGCGGGAGGGCAGCTGTTCCCGCCTCTGGTGTGTTACCAAACGATCTTTCCGTAAGGCGTTTCCCGCCGGTGGAGTTTCCCTCAGAAGGCCCCTCCCTCCCTTTCCCCTTTGTCTCGAGTGTCCAATGCCCGGAGGTAAACAAGGGCGCCCTGGGGTCCCGAAGGGGCAGGGGCGGGTGTTGTTTCCCCTGGCTCCGCCCCCTCCCTCTGGCTCGGGATTCCCCGACCGCCTGGCTGGGCCCTGGCTCACCCTCGCACCAGCGCTGAGCTGAGAAATCGGATTCCCGGCCACTGCCCACCTTTGGCTATCTTATTTGTCACCTAGATATTCACTGTCTCGTCCCTCTTATAATGTAAAAACTTCTTTAAATCAAAGATCCTTTTGAGATCCCCATAAAAGCAATGAATGCTCCCCACCCCCCAACTGCTTATATACGCCAAGTGCCTATTGCATTATTTTACACACTCCTCCAGGCCCAGGTTAAGAACCTTCATTTTAGGGGCGCCTGGGTGGCTCAGTCGGTTAAGCGACTGCCTTCGGCTCAGGTCATGATCCTGGAGTCCCGGGATCGAGTCCCGCCTCGGGCTCCCTGCTCGGCGGGGAGCCTGCTTCTCCCTCTGACCCTCCCCCCTCTCATGAGCTCTCTCTCTCTCATTCTGTCTCAAATAAATAAATAAAATCTTAAAAAAAAAGAACCTTCATTTTAGTGTCTAGTAAGAGCCCCCCAAAGCTACCTTAACTGCTTACTAGCATCACAAGCTGCTTTTCCCAAAGTAGCAGGACTTTCACTGACACCTTAGTATGCTATTTCTGTGTTGTATTTAGTTTTGAGGTCTATTTTTTCCCCATGTGTTGCACTGACAGTTTCAACAGATTTTAATATTGTTTTATTTTCTCAGTAAATTCACTGGCATTTGTTAGGCTGTGTGTGCCTGTTTGGTTTGTGTTCAGTAACTCTGGTCAATAATAACTCAAAAACCAGCAGCTCTTTACCTAGATTTACTAATAAAAACAAGGTTTTTAAAAATGATTTTTTTCCTTGGAAATGGATATTGGGTGCCCAATATTGTGCATGTGCTAATGCCACTGAATTTAAAAATAAATTATGCATAATGTTTATTGCTATTAAATAATATAGTATGATTTGTCAAATTTGGATTTGTATGTGCTTTTTATAGCACAGTTGTAACTGTGATCTTATTTGAAAACAGGGTCATTGCAGATGTAATCAGGATGAAGTGATATGGAGTTGGGTAGGCCCATAATCCAATGATTGGTGTCCTTACAAAATTTATAAGAGAATTTGGACACAGAGAAAGGCACAGAGGTTAGATAATGTGAAAAGACACAGGAAGAAGTTGGCCATCTACAAGGTAAGGAGAGAGGCCTGGAATCTTCGGTCACAGTCCTCAGAAGGAAACAACCCTTCCCACACCAATTTCCATTCTTTACTCCATCACAGTGGAGAAAAGGAAAACATTTCTGTATTTAACCTGCTTTTACGTTGGATGGCTAAGACTTCACTCTTAGGCTGTACTTCCTGGCCTAGAAGTAACATCAAAAAGCACAGTGAAGTGATAAAGTTTAAGTGAGATCTAGACAACTCTTGGTTATAGAACCACCCTTTTTTCTTTTTGGAATAAAAACTATATACAGAATCTGGTAGCACATACAAAAACTCTAGTACCAAATTTGGTTCTGTAAAGATGGGTTAAATACCTAAGAGGTTTGGTTCACTATTATGAATTACCTGGCATACTGTTATAACTTTATCAGAAAACTAAAATGTCCTATAAAGACATAATACTAAAAAGGTCCTTCTCTTTTTTTAAAAAAAGATTTATTTGAGAGAGAGAGAGAGAGCCAGGGGAGGGGCAGAGGGAAAGGAAGAGAGAGAATCCTCAAGCAGATTCTCTGCTAAGCACGGTACTGACCTAGACACCGATCCCAAGGACCCTGAGATCAAGACCTGAGCTGAAATCAAGAGTCAGATGCTCAAGAGTCGGATGCTCAACTGACTGAACCACCCAGGCGCCCCTAAAGGTCTTTCTCTTGTGTCTACTATTGTTATGGTTCTACATGGGAAAATAAGATTGTTTTCTAAAATTCAACCTTCTTGGGGCACCTGGGTGGCTCAGATGGTTAAGGGTCTGCCTTTGGCTCAGGCCATGATCCCAGGGTCCTGGGATAGAGCCCCGCATGGGGCTCCCTGCTCGGCGGGGAGCCTGTTTCTCCCCCTCCCTCTGCTTCTCCCCCTGCTCATGCTCTCTATCTCTGTGTCTTGAATGAATAAATTAAAAAATCTTAAAAAAAAAATAAAGTTCAACCTTCTTTTCAGGAACACATCAATTTCATATATTCTAAAAATAATTGTCCAAATTTATTGTTACTTAGTATGATGCGTCTTCCTAAAAGATGAAAAAGAAAGTGTTTATGTTCTTCATAAAGAATGTATGGGGCACCTGGGTGGCCCAGTCTGTTGAACATTGGACTCTTGGTTTCCGCTCAGGTCATGACCTCAGGGTTCTGGACTGAGCCCTGTGTTTGGCTCCGCAATCGCCGGGGAGTCCACTTGAGGATTCTCTTCCTCTGTTCCTCCCCCTACTCGCTCATGATCTCTCTCTCTAAAATAAATAAATTAGTCTTTAAAAAAGAAAAGAATATATAAATTAAAATCCAGCAAGGGTTTGTGGTTTTGAACAGTACACATAATATTTCTAGGCTTTTGATTGACAAACTGTAAAATGAGATTTGGGGGATAATCTCTAAGGTACCATTCAGCTCTTAAATTGTATGATTCTATAATTCTATGAATACGTGTTCATAGTGTGGGAAAATAAATATTTTAACTTTTGCTATTGTTAGGTGGTCAAGAGATTATAATTAAAATTTTAAAAGATAAATAATTCAAGATCTAGGAAATCCTTTGGTTATAAGAATACCAATTAGCTGTGAGCCTAGTTATTTCAAAACAGTATTTGTTGAAGTAAGAGTTTATGGCTGTTCAAATGTAATAAATTATATAGACCAAACTTTAGATTACACAGTATTACTCAGTCATCTTAGTCTTCTAGTAAAATGATTTAACCATGGGATCCCCCTAGATGATACCAATATAAAACTTTATTTGCCAAATTTTGCGTTTCAGCTTCTCACAAATTGTAGCAAGGTAAATATTTAGCAATAAGCTAATTGTGAGTTGGGACTGAAATTGTTTCCAAAGTAGATCCCCTATCCTATATGTATAAGTAGCTAGCTATTCTATAGATAAACTAGAATTTATCTGCAATGTCAATCTGACAGGACTGTGTAGAAATGATCTGAGTTGTGCTAAGTATTGAAATTCCTCCATTTTTTTCATTCACTTATCCAAAAAATGTGGACTTTTCATAATATCAAACTAGATTGGAAAATCCTAATAAAAGAGAATATTATATATCATTTTTTGTAAATTCTGTCCCCCCACTCACAAAGCAGTAAATAATAAACTCAATAATTATTTTTTATTTCTTGATTAAGTCAGCCAAAATTAAGATTCTCTACACAAGGTTAGTTGCACATAAAATAATTCTTGTTCTCTGAAGTTGCCTAGTTAATGTAAAAAACTGAAAACCACTACCTTACACACATATTAGTTTCTCAAAGATCAGTCTTATACTGAAATTTAATATTTTTAGGTTGTTTTTAAAGGCATGAGACGGGAAGGATAAGCATACTAGAGTATTATCAAATAAGCACACCCACTTGTGGGGAGACCACTGGTTCTGAGGCCTAACTGTATACCGACTCCAGAGATTCAGTGTGGTGTAGTAGTGATGTAGTTAGTGATGTAATTAGTGATGTAGTTCAATAATATATATTTTTTAAGATTTTATTTATTCTTTTGACAGAGAGAGCACAAGCAGGGGGAACGGCAGGCAGAGGGAGAGAGAGAAGAATGCTCCCCACTGAGCAGGAAGCCCCCGATGTGGGGCTCAATCCCAAGGTCCTGGGATCATGACCTGAGCTGAAGGCAGATGCTTCACTGACTGAGCCACCCAGGCGCCCCTCAAAAATATATTTCGGAAGAAATGAAAATGCAGGTTAAGAAAAAACAAAAACCTTTAATTCTACTGATAGCAATTTCAATGAAGAATGGGAAGAAAATAGAGTTACTCTATTTTTCTTCAAAAAAAACTATTGACTATTTTTGTGAATCAACTTGAACTAAATGTCCACCAAACATTTATTTACTTTCTAAAAGCCTCCACTAACACAATCAGGAAAAAAAAAGGACAAACTGCAAAAATCACGTTCTTAAATACATTGTAGATCTATTGAAGCAATCAGAAAATAA